CCTCTTGTCTGGAAGGACTTTACTTGTGACAGTTTCTTTGACTTAAGGTCATTTATACAGCAATTTGGAATGTGTACCATGAATATTTTAGTTGTGGTACAAATCTAATGCTGCTATGTTAATCTATAAACCATGACATATAGTACTTACTGATTGACTTAAATATTTTTCTAAAAGGTTAAGATTTAGTTTTTAGATTGGAAGAGAGTGGCATACAAGGTGCATGCACACATTGTGCAAGACTACGGGGGCTGAAAACCACGTGTGCATTCACTTGGCCGGGAACTTCAGAATATCATACCCTTGAATAGATCAGACCATCTGGTTCATAAGAGACTTCAACATTGTTCTTATGAAGCCTCAGCAAACATTTCCTTGGTTTTATACTTGAAAGTGGGGTCTGTAGAGGCTTAATTTAATAAAATAGAGATTTAAAAATCACTAGTGGCATTTTCAAAAGTGTTCATAATTTGACCATGAAAATAAAAATTAACATTCCTTCCATCTCATTATCAGACCTGCTTCAGTTTTTGTGATGTTCCTTATAATTACAACCAGTTAGAATCATATCCCACATTTAATTGACATGTTTCTTTAGCCTCCTTCAGTCTGAAGTAATTCTTGGCTCTTTCCTTTAAGGATTACAGACAAGTTACGTGGTAGAATGAACTTGAATTTGGGTTGTCTGGTGTTTTTCATGATTAGATTCAGGTTATGTATCTTAGGCAGAAATTTCACAAAACCGATTTTGTGTTCTCATTGAATTGCATCAGGTGGCATATGACTTCAGGTTGTCCTTTAAATGGCGATGCTCACTGATCACTTGATTAAGGTGGTGTCTGTTAGGTGTTCTGTATTTGTTTCCTATTGCTGCTGTAACAAATTACCAAAAACGTAGTGACTTAAAACACAAAGCTCAGATGGCTGGGCACAATGTTTCACACCTGTAATCCCAGCATTTTAGGAAGTGAAAGTGAGAGAATTGCCTGAGCCCAAGGGTTCAAGACCAGTGTGGACAACTGGGTGAGATCTCATCTCTACAGTAAAACAAAAACATTAGCCCAGTGTGGTGGTGCACGCCTGTAGTTTCAGCTACTTGGGAGACTGAGGCGGGATTGCCAGGATTACCTGAGCGCAGCAGATCGTGGCTGCAGTAGCCATGAACATGCCACTGTACTCCAGCCTGAGCAATAGAGTGAGACTTTGACTCAAAAACAAAACAAAAATAGTGCATAGATTTAAGATTTATTCTCTTACAATTCAGGAGCCCAAAACTCCGTAATTAATTTAATCGGGCTAAAATCATGGTGTTGACAGAGCTGGTTCCTTCTGGAGATTCTAAGGTAGAATCTGTTTCCTTGCCTTTTCAGCTTCTGGAGACAGCCTCTCTTCCTTTTCTTCTGGCCCCTCCCTCATTTTCAAAAAGGTGGGGGGAAAAAACAAAACCTACAACCTCTGCCTCCATTGTCAGTCTGTCTTTGACCCTCCTGCTTCCCTCTTGTAAATACCTTGTGATTATATGGGTTCTGCTAAGGAAACCTTTCCCATTTCAAGATTCTTAATTTAGTCATTTCTGTAAAGCCCCTTCTGCCATTTAAGATAATGTTTTTATTGATTTCAGGTATTAGGATGTGGACATCTGGGGGGGTGGGGCATTATTCAAGCTACCCTACTGTAAAGTTGTTGTTTTCCTGGTACTTGGATCCCTGGTTCCTGTTAGTGAAAAATGGTATTTAGAAGCCAAGATCTGGGTGCTAGACGTCCTCACTGCTACTGGGATTTTGCTTCTTAGCCCACATAGTAGACAGAACTAGCAAATATGTTTGTTTATGTGTACATATATAGAGAGAAAGCTTCATCTATAATTCTGTAATAAAAGACATTCATAATGATACCTTCAATTCCAATCCAACAGAACAAGGTTCATTTTTGTTTCTGTTTTTTTTTCCTATTTGTCACTACTTTTTCTGATAGTGAAAAACTGACTCCAGGTTCCTTCCTTCCTTCCTTCCTCCCTTCCTCCCTTCCTCTCTTCCTCTCTTCCTCCTTTCCTCCCTTCCTCCCTTCCTCCCTCTTATCCAGGCTGGAGTGCAGTGGCACAGTTTTTTTATTTTTGTAGAGATGAGGTCTCATGTTGCCCAGGGTGGTCTGGAACTCCTGGGCTCAAGTGACTCTCCTACCTAAGCTGCCTAAAGTGTTGGAATTATATGCATGAGCCACTGTGTCTGGCCTTAGGTGTCCTAGTATAATATATTAATTTATTTGATCAGTCCCCTGTATTATCAGTCTCCTTTTATGCTACCACCCTCTGCCCTACATGAGTCCCTCTTTACCATACCTGGTTTTTATACCTCTTGCCAGGTAGCTCTCCTATGTGAATACCTTCATCAAAGCATGGTAGTAATAACAGGGTAGTTGAACTTCTTACATGGTGACTTAGGAGCGTTCTATTATATGAGGGGGACCACCCCCCCAAAAAAAAAATTCCTGGAATTTGTTTATAAAGAATTGTATGTTGATTTTTTTTTTTTTACTTTATTATTTTGTAATTTTAAAGATGTGGGGTACAATTCATGGTTAGGTATACAAATGTTCATTATGTAGGTATCCTTGTTGATTAGGTGTGCCCCCCTCTCCCCTGGCAGATTCCCACTACTGCCAATCCCTTCTCCCCACTCTCCCCCTGCCCAGGCAGTTTCTCCACTGTCAATCCTTTTCTTATAGTATTACAATAATTGTTCAAGGTGTCCTTGTGAGTGAGAACATGCGATACTCAGTTCTTTGTTTCTGTGATAGAGCCTTCAAAGTACTTTTCGTTTGATGCAGTACACCTGTTGAAATGCTTTTTCCACCACTGAAAAACAGTTTTGAACTCATTAATTTTGATGCCTTTTAGTGCTTCTGCTGTTTTTTCTTTCACCTCTTCCACATTGGCAAAACATTTCCCTTTGAGGTCTATTTGCATTCAGGGAAAAAAAAAAGTTGTCGGGTTGAGATCTGGTGAATAAGGAAGATGGAGTATGGGGGTCATGCTGTTTTTTGGTCAACAACTGCTGAACACTCAGCACAGTGTGGGCAGCTATGTCGTCATGGTGGGAAACCTGTTTGCCACAACTTGGGGCGTTTCTACAAATCGTGATTCAACCTTCTCAAAACTTCCAGTTAAAAACTTCGGTTGACTGCTTGATCTGGAGGAACAAATTCCAAGTGAACTGCAAGGGGCTTGCCTTCTGAAAAGATAATTCCATTTTTTTTTAGGGTCTCCCCTTTGTATATCAAGTTATTTTACTTATCTGACATCTCATTTAGAAACTGCAGGTTTGTAGATTTTTTTAAAGTATGGTGAAAAATTTAAATTTAGAATTAGCCAGGCAGACTCAGTTTAGATGATCTCAATTTTTTTGGCAACATTCAAAGCATTATAGGGGCCAGTTGAACATAAACCTCTTCTTTCCATCAGGCCTGATGAGTATGTTGAACTTAGCCGTGGCAATGTCATAGAACTTCCTTACAGCCTGTTTGATCTGGTGCTTGTTGACCTTGACATCCACAGTGAACACAAGTGTGTTGTTGTCATCTTTGTGGTCAACTCAGTGGTGGGGAACTTGATAATGTCATAATGATAAAGCTTGTTTATGTGTGGGGCCATTCTTTCCTAGAATATTTGAGCTACTTTCATAGCTGCATTGTCTTGGGCCAGTGGATGGTGGGTGACATGCTGATCTCTTTTGTGTCTACTTCTTGGTTTTCAAAACCTTGGCTTTGGGTTTGACTTTGGGATAGACAGGGGCATACTTCTTTGCTTTTGGAGCCATTGTGAAAAGGTAGGATATTATTCTAAAACTTAAAATACTTTTTTTTGGACTTGGGAGAGTTATTCAAACCATGTGATTATGTGAATTGAGGAAAATAATATGTAATATTTTGGCTTTGGTTTAATTTCTTTTTGACTGAACAGGTTTTTCCTGGGGGACTAAAATAGCTTTGTCACAACTCTTATATATACCTATCTTAAATTCTTATGGGTTTAGGACACTCTTCCAACTTAACACAAAATAATTAGAATCTGTGATATTGAATTTTACTTTTTACCCCCCCCCCCTTTTTTTTAGATACACACAAATATGGGTGCCATCCTTGGGCCCAGGCCATGCTAATCTTCTCTGTATCATTCCAATTTTAGTATATGTGCTGCTGAAGCAAGCATACCACCTTTGTTTTGACTGAAAGTTGATTTTATGTTATAGCTCCAAATTCTTTTAGTTTCATATCTCAAATAGATGAGACCTAAACTTTGTTGATTAGAAGATATTTTGGCCAAAGGTGGTGGCTCATGCCTGTAATCCTAGCACTTTGGAAGGCAGAGGTGAGAGAGTTGTCTGAGCCCAGGGATTTGAGACCAGCCTGGGCAGCTTGATGAGACTTTGTCTCTACAGTAAATCAAAAAATTGGCTGTGCTTGGTAGAGCCTGCCTGTAGTTCCAGCTACTTGAAAGGCTGAGGTGGAAGGATCCCCTGAGCCTAGGAGATTGAGGCTGTGGCTAAAATAAATAAATTAATCAATTAATTTTATAAAAAGATATTTTGATAGACAATTATTTTCATGTGTGAAGAGTATCATTTCTGGTTAGCTTCCTTAATCATGCTTTAACTATTTTGTACTTGTTCCTATAGCAGAAAGGAAAGGGGAGAGTTTTTCAGAAATTACTGCTTGTATATGACTAAATATTTTGGGTACAAGTCAGTTTTTACATTTTCACTGAGTTGTTTAAGTCTCATCTGAAAGATGATTGTATAGTAGTTGACTGTTTTCCAGATAGATTGTTGTCAGTGGCAGAAAATGTCACCTGTCTTGTAAATTTTTTAAAAACTTATTTGAATAGACAGTACTGTTATGTTCCAATAAAATATTAGCATGGTAATGAAGGTTACTATGATATTAACTCTGGTTTTGACTTCACTGTGAAAAATGGTTTAATTCATCTTATTTTTCTTTCTTGACAGAGCAAATTCGATTAAAGAATATCAGAAAAGTATATGGAAGATGTATGTGGTATCGTTTACGGTTATTAAAACCCCAGCCAAATATTATTCCTACTGTAAAGTAAGTCATGGATTTCAATAAAAAACATACTAGTGCTTGCTCTTTGTTATGTGTTATAAAAAATACATGTATAATGGTGAATAAGACGTTGTATCTGTAAAGAAATTGTATACTGTAGTAGGGGTAAGATGTAATTAGTGTATTTGAGAGTGGTCTGCACAAATAGGTTTAGAAGTTCAAAGGAGAGAGAGTATACTTCTGCCTGGGGAGGGGAGGAGGAGAGAGATAAGTCATATCTTGAAGGAAGACCTTGTGCACCTTGTGTCAGGATTTGAATTCTATTTTAAAGACTATGGGTGAATCTTTAAGCTTTCAAAAGTAAGGAGGTGACATGGTCAAGTTTGTGTTTCATGGTGATAATTAAAGTTTATTGAGCATGTACTATATGGCCAGGTCCTCTGCTAGGGCTTTATATGTTATCTAATTTAATTCTATATTAGGTTCAAAATAGATATTTCTGTTTTTTCTCAGATGAGAAAACTTAGGCTAAGAAAGATAAGGTAACTTAACCAAGGTCAAGTAGTTAGAAGTGGTAGAGTAGGGACCTAGTGACCCTTTTCTTTGGCAGGCCCAGCTTCTTTAACAGGCTATTTGTATGCTTAATTAGAGGAGGCCTGTTTGATTCTGTGAGACTGTGGGACATGTTTGTTGGAAGCCTAGACTTTAGACCTGCTATCATCAATTTAGAGGTAATAGATGAAAATGACAGGTGGTGAGAGTTGCCATTTATTGGATTATTATATCTTGTGAGTCACCTATACTTATCTGTCCAGTAGATAGGAAGAGAGGACCTAGCAATGAGAATTAGTAGAGTAGAACCAGTTTTTTTTTTTGTAGAGAGGATCCTCTCCCATTGGCTTCCCTAAGTGCTGAGATTACTGGTGTGAACCACTGCACCCAGTTAGAACCAGTTATTTTTAAATTTTGGTTTAATTATTATAGTTTTAAGCATAGTTACATAATTTCAGGGGACTTCAGTTATTTTTCTTTTAAGGTTTGACTTTGCCTAGTTTAGTTCCATTGTAGGGGTATAGGAATTTTAGCTTTGTTAAGAGTTATTTAATGATGTGAAACAAAAAGCAAGGTTAGTTTTGACAAGAGTAGTGTTTTTTTCACTGTTTATTCTTTGCTGTTGCTTCTCATTTTAAATTAAACTTTCATGAAGCAATAAGACAACCTAGCCGGCCCTTTGTATCCACAAGCTCCAAATGGGCAGATTCAACCAACTGCAGATAGAAAATATCTTGGGGGAAAAGCAATAAAAACCAGCAGTGCAACCAAAATAATATAAAAACAATACAGCATAACAACTATTTATATGGCATGTACATTGGATTAGTTATTTTAAGTAATTTAGAGATTATTTAAAGTACATGGAAGGATGTGCATAGGTTATATGAAAATACTACACCATTTTATATTAGAGACTTGAGCACCCATGGATTTTGGTATCTGGGGTCCTGGAACCAATCCTTCAGGGACAACTTTTTGCCTTTCAATCTCTTCTTTTTTCTGACTTTGCTCAGCACTTTGTGGCTATCTTAACCTCAGTTTTCAAGGAAATAAAAAGACAACTTTGTGAAGTTCTTTTCAGTGATTAATGAACTGATTTACTTAAAGTACAGATTAGGGAATATTAACTTTTTGTACTCAGAGACATTTCATAGATCACTTACTTACCAGCAACTCTACTGCACTTTTTTACAAAATAGTGAAAAATGAATCACTTCGTATTAAATAGTATAGTGTTGGAACCAATTATTTTATTGTAATGATATTTGGCTTATAATGGAATTTTGGACATTGAGGAACTTAGTTATAAACAAAAAAAATCAAAATTTTATGTCATGTTTCTAACATGTGGTAACATGTGAAACAGTCACTGACATGCATTGCAGTTGTGCAGTTATAAGTAGCATGTTGTACAGTAGTAAGTTGTTGGACTGGGCTTCTTCTGCCTGGTGTTTTCTGTTCGAGCAGACAATGCAGTGTTGTGTTTTTCCTCCCACATTAATAATATATAATTTATTGTCCAGTCTGTTGTCCGATGTGGAAGAATGCACTCATGATTCCTGAAAACCACTTCTCAACTGCCCAATCATATCTCCGTATATATGCCATTTCTTTAGTTGCTCTTTTGTGCTATTTGAATAGAAAACTTCAAGAAAACATTTTTGAAATATTTGCGCTTGCATAAGTTTGTCCTGCATAATCACCAGCAATCTCTTTATGTCCCCTCAGGGGGGACATCTGAGTGGTTTGTTAGATTTATTATGTCCCTTCAGAGGGGACATCTGAGTGCAAAGGGTTGAAGTGAGGTGGAATTAAGTAGATACTAGTAACAATTTAGGTAAAGTCAGAAACTGTTAAAACTTTTTTGGCTACTTAATCCTGAAACATTCCTTCTGAATTAAGCAATCATTGTGTATTGCTTCTCTTCTGATAGCACCCTTGAAACTAAGGTATGTAATTTCTGGAATTTGCTTCTAAAATGGCATTTAAAGCATGCTTAGAGAAGAAACACAAGTCTTAACAAGTTACTTGCTGAAGCTGCATGTAGGAAAAATGCCTGTCTTTTTGGAGAAACCAAATATGCTTTTAAAATTAATGAGCACAGAGCATGGTGTAATCCATCATGTTTCCCCCTTAGCTTTGGCTCGCAGGAAACTAGAGCATGGCTTTATTGGTTGTGGTGGTTTTCATTAGCCTGGGGATTGGGTCATAAGCCTCTCCTCCCCTCCCCCACTCAGACAGCCAGCTGCTTCATGTAAGGCATCTAGCATAGTGTCCAGCATCACCTAGGTGTTCTTTTCCCTTTCTCTTGTTTGGTCTTAAGTCTCGCTTTTGTGGGTTTCAGTTTAATTTTATCTTTGTTTTGTAAGTTTTGTTAGCATTTTGGAAGAGTTGGCAAAACAATATGTGGAGTGAGTTAATTTGTGTGGGATTTATTTTCAAGTGTTTTTTAAAGCATATAGAGAGTATTAGCAGACTTTGGATTTGAGTTAAAAGTTTGCTTTTTAAATTATCTTTATGATTCAGTCAGCACGTAGTTATAGTGTGCCTACTCTGTGTCATGTATTATACTAGGTGCTAGATGTACTGTGATGAACAAAACAGACGTGATTCAACCACTTGGAGTCTTGGGGGACACTGGCAAGTACAGGCAATGATAATAGAGTTAGTAAGGGCTGGGAGAGCGGCACCATGAAAGATGAAGGGCTCTTAACTGGCCTTGGATGGAGAAGCTCCCCTGAGTAAGTGAGGTCTAAGCTGAAGCTGACAGTTGGAGAGAAGTTTCAGATAACAGCCCATAGCTAACATGAATTGTTTACTACCCGGTAGGCACCTTCTAAGTACTATATGTATCTAATCTCAAATGTCATTCTCAAACCTGCCATAAAAGTTGGAAAAGGTGTGAAAGGCTAAGCAGCTTGCCAAGCTCTCTCAGTTAATAAGTGGTAAATATGGGAGTTGAACTTCGTTTTGTTCCAGAGCCTGTGTTCTCAACCTCCTCTTCTTAGATAGCCAGATACCAGCGGAAGAGTGTTCCACGTAGGGATCCCTCTCCTCTTTGGGCATAGACAGGATATAGATGGCAAGGAAAGCAGCTTGAAGTTATATGCTTTTTTAAAAATACATATATTTTTAAAATTTTTGTAGGCACAGGGTCTCACTATTTTGCTCAGGCTAGTCTTGAACTCTTGGCCTGAATATCAAGTGATCCTCTTGCCTCGATCTCCGAAAGTGCTGGGATTAAAGGCATGAGCCACTGTACCCAGCCTTAGTTATATGCTGTTAATAAGGTTTAGAGTCTTCTTTTGGCCAAATGGAAAAAAGTTTGTATTAGTGTCAACTGTGTTTAAGCTACATTGAGTTTAGTAAAAACTGAATAAAATCTTGTCCATGTGCTCAGTGAACTTGTAGCAAGTCAGAGGAGGAAAGTCATGGTTTGTTCCTGTTTGTGACTAACCAGCATCTCTTGTTGATCATCTTTGCAAGTGCTATGGATTGCATTACGGAGGATAGAGCATTTAAGTTGAGTCTTAAAGGATGAATAGAGTTTGGATAGGCAGAGATACTCATGAGACTTCTAAGTAGAAAGATCTTAGCAAAAGCATGGTGGTGGGAAAAGCTCAGGGAGTGCTGGTAGATGGGGATTTGTTTTATTTGAAAAATTAAGGTGATAAAGGGTTAGTAGGCATGTTGGAACTAGACCTGGAAGCTAAATGAACATATTTCAGCTGAGTTTCCTGTCAGAAGAGTTTTACCACGTAGAAGGTTTTATTTCAAGTTCCAAAAACAGATCACTCCAATTTTGTTTGATTTGGCCTCTTATGGTTCATTTTGTGGCTTTATCTAACAGTTCCTGCTCAGTGTAACAAATTGTCATGCAAAGGGTATAAAAATAAGTCTTTCCGTTTCATCACCTAAAGCTAGCCATTTTTAAGTTGATTACCTCATATACTTACTTATATGCTTTTTATTTACAAAATTGGATGATATTACATACATATAACTTTAAAAAATTTTTCTTTTAAAAATATAACGATATAGGGTAGACAGTTACCCATAGCTGATATTATTTTTAATGGCAAGAAAGTATTTCACTATGTGGATGTACCTTTATTTATCTAGTAATCTATTGATGGACGTTTAAGATGTTTTTTTTGTTTGTTTGTTTTGAGTTGGAGTCTCACTCTGTCGCCCAGAACTGGAGTGCAGTGGCTGCTCCCGGCCACTGCAGCCTCGACCTGCTGGGCTCCAGTGATCCTTCTGCCTCAGCCTTCCAAGTAGCTGGAACTACAGGCGCGCGCTACCACGTCCGGCTAATTTTTTTTTGATTTATTGTAGAGATGAGGTCTTGCCATGTTGCCTAGGCAGGTCTCGAACCCATGGGATCAGGCAATCCACTTACCTCGGCCTCCCAAAGCGCTGGGATTACAGGCTAAGCCACCAAGCCCGGCAAAGGTTTTTTTTTTTTTTTGCTACTATTTACATCTGTAACAACCATTTTATACTTTGTATACTCAATTCTAGCTTACTTATTTCCAAATTATTTGAAGTGGAATGGATTGATAGAAATCAATCCAAGTGGATGGATTGATAGGGTCTGTACTTTCTTAGGGCTTTTAATACATTGCCAGATATTTATTTCAGAGCATATAGTACATGAGAGTTCCCTCAAGAGTTCTTATCCTTTCCAATGCCAGTAATATCTGTCTTCTGAATATTTTACTAAGAAGAACACTTAGAGGGAGAATAAATTAGTTTATTTTCAAATTATATATTCTTGTATATCTTTTTTTAAACTGTTATGCACATCTTTCTATATTAGTATTGGCTAAAAAATGTTCCATTGTGTAGCGGTTTATTTAATTCTTCCCCTATAAATGATTTATTGAATTAGTCCCCCATAAGTGGACATAAACGTGTTTTCACAGTTTTATTATTGTAAACCAAGCTATTTGTTAGTTTTCTTAGTTTATCTTATTAAAAGTATAATTGCTAGGTCAGAGCAATTATTTTTTATATTAAGTGGATTACGGAATACTTAGTATTTATATTTGAAGGAGACCCTAAAGAATCCGGAATTTATTTATAAAATATTGTATATTTATTCTTGCATGTTTAAACTTCAGTCACCTTCAAAGTGCTGTATCCTTTTGATGCAATACACACCTATCAAGATACTTTTTTCACTGCTCAAAACACTTTTTGAACTCATCATTTTTGATGCCTTTTAGTGCTTCTGCTGTTTTTTGTTTCACCGTCCACGTTAGCAAAATGATTCCTTTTGAGGACGTTTTTCCTCTGAGGAAACTAACAAAAGTCACTTGGGCGAGATTGGATGAATAGGGAGGGTTGGGGCACGGGGGTCATGCTGTGTTTGGTCAAAAACTGCTGAACACTCAGTGTAGTGTGGGCAGGTGCACTTGTAAATCACTCAACATGAAATGGTTAAACATGTTGAAAGAATCTCCAAAAAAAAAAAATTCACTGATGCAGAATGCCGCCTCTCATAACAATGCTAGCTGATATGCTGATACCAATGAGTTCCTAGAACACCTACCAGCAGGGGAAACCTACAAAAGAGGCCTGCCTTCCCAAAAAAATTTTTTTTGTTTTTGAATTGCCCCCTTTGTATTTTCATATAATTTAATGGGTTCAGTAAGTTAATAAGTTGAATTCACTTCTGTATTTAAGATTATGCAAATAGTAACTGAGAAAATCTATTACACGCAGGGCATTGTGCCAGATTCTAGATAATTTAGAGGTGAACCTTGCTGTAACAGGAGTTTACAACCCGTGTTTATAGAATTTGAGTCAACAGCATAGTAATGTGGAACTACTTTAGATTGTTTTATTCCTTCATTTGTCATAATATCTTTAGACTATTAAAGAAAAGTCGCACAGATGCATGTATCTATAATTCAATTATCTTTTTCCTAAACAGGAAAATAGTTCTGCTTGCAGGATGGGCACTGTTCTTATTCCTTGCATACAAGGTTTCCAAAACAGACCGAGAATATCAAGAATACAATCCTTATGAAGTATTAAATTTGGATCCCGTAAGTAGTATTTTTATATAATGCACACTAGTTTAATGAAACTGCTACAGGTCTGTATCCTAAAAGAAATTGTCCATACCTAAAGAAATCAGACTTTGGTTAGTTAAATAAGATATCTAATCCATTATCATTCTGAGGTCTGTATATTTTTTTGAGCTATAGTTGTTGATTGCTACATTATTAAATTTATTTTTAAAATTTCTTGTTACTGAGTTTTGAGAGTTTTTTTTTAGTTAGGATCTTACTCTGTTGCCCAGGCTGGAGTGCAGTGGCGTGATCATGGCTCACCACAGCCTTGACCTTTAAAAAAAAATTTTTTTTTGAGTTGGGGTCTCATAATGATGCCATAATCATGGTTCAGCTCACTGCATCCTTGCCCTCCTGGGCTCAGGTGATTTTCCCACCTTAGCCTCCCAAGTAGCTGGGACTACAAGAGCACACCACTACATCTGACTAATTTTTTGCTTTTTGTAGAGATGAGGTTTTGCCATGTTGCCAAGGCTGGTCTTGAACTCATGGGCTCAAACAATCCTCCCACTTCAGCCTCCCACAGTGCTGGGATTACAGACAAGGCCGTCACATCTACCAAAAATTGGTTTTTAATTGCTAAAATATAAAAATGTTTGGAGGTGAGAGGAGTGGCTAGCATTTTTAACACCATTATGAAAAGAGATCTGTAATACTGGTTTAATGCAAAGTTAAACATAAAGCTGGGAGGCTCATTTGCGCTAGTTGAATGATACAAATCTTATGGCCTTGTATTGACTTAAGCAGTATGTTAAGTCTGAGCTCAGGGTCTTCAAAAGATCTAGTGTCATTGTCATAGAAATTCAGGTTAGCTTTGAGTGTGCCCCTTGAGTGTGATCTATTTCTTTTTCTAAAATTTTGTTTGTTTATTTAAAGAGATGGAGTCTCGCTATGTTGCCTAGGCTAGCCTCAAACTCCTGGACTCGTGATCCTCCCACCATGGTCTCCTAAAGTGCTGAGATTATAGGTGTGAACCACTGTGCCCAGACCCTTAGGTGATATCTTGATTGATCTTTATTAATGGGTTCCAGTAGAAAATTAGTCTTTGAAATTAATGGTAGAGATCGTCTAGCCTGTTTTTCTTTTTTAAAGAGAAAATGAGGCCTGAAAAATGTGTGTCTAGGGCCCCAAGCTTCTTAATAGCCAAGTTGAATGCAGTGCTCTCATTCTTTCTGTTTTTCTCCCCAAACCACTTACTTTTACTTTGGGTCTCTGCTCAGTAGATGGCTTGATTCAGAGATTCATATAGTGTGAAGTAAGCAGGGTGTTTATTATAGTTTTCTGCATTGTGGAAGAAAAGTTTGCATATCGTGATTTTTTAAAAAATAATTATAATAGTCATTAAGAGAGGTTTTTTTAAGATTAAAAGGTCAATAAAAAACAATATGAAAAAATTATAAATGGAAATTGAGCTAGTTAAGAAAAAGTTAAGCTCAATTTATTAAATGTTTACTTAATATTATAATAGATAAGCAGCTGAAATCAGATATTCTTCAGATTATTCCTTAGAAAGTTAACCTTTTATTTGTGGGTTCTTTGAACCATACTTAACTTACGTGATGATATTTAAATGTCAGTGTCTTTCTTATTTTATTTAAATATGGAATTATATGGTTTCCCTTTCAAATCATCTGTGCCCAGTGGTACTGCACGGCACATAGTAGGTACTCAATAAAATAAATATATTGGAAAAATGAGTATTTTTATTTAAAAATATATGGAATGAAATTTATGGGGCAAAACATGTAGGATGAAAACTTTATATTCTCTCAAAATATTGAGTAGTTCATGTTTTAAGTTCAAAACAGGATGGATTATTTCTTTTTAGACCATGATTATTTTTGCTAACACCAAGTTTTTCTTTTAGGGGGCAACAGTAGCAGAAATTAAGAAACAGTATCGTTTGCTGTCACTTAAATATCATCCAGATAAAGGAGGTGATGAAGTTATGTTCATGAGGATAGCCAAAGCTTATGCAGCGTAAGTATACGTTTTTAAGAGTGGTCAAGATAGTTTTCTTTTTTAATAAGATAGTTGTCATACACTTTTATTAAATACTGGCCTTATATGTTGAGTCTCATTTATGGAACACTCAGCAGCTCTAAAATTGTACTTTACACCTTAATTGTAAGTAACTCAGAGTTGTCCTCTGAAGTAGTGCTTTTGCCATGTGAACTCGGTCACGTTAAGTAGTGAGGGTTAAGGTATATCGAGTTATCTTATTAGCATTCTGATTAGAAGAGGGGATACTTAGACCTTGTTTTCACTTCTAGTCTTGATCTGGTTATGTGTGGCAAATCTTATTTAAACTACATACAAGTTTAATTTTCACTTTTTTTTTGAGTTAGAATCTCTGTTACCCAGACTGGAGTACAGTGACACTCTCACAGCCACCACTGCCTCAATCTGTTGGGCTCAGGTGATCCTTCCACCTCAGTCTTCCAAGTATGGAACTATAGGCATGCGCCACCACGCCTGGCTATTTTTTTTGTAGAGACAAGTTCTCGCCAAGTTGCCCAGGTTGGTCTCAAGCCCCTGGACTTAGCCGATCTTCTTGCCTTGGCCTCCCAAAGTGCTGGGATTACAAGCGTGAACCACCACACCTGGCCTAATTTTCACTTTTAAGTATTTCGTTTTTGGTGTCCCTTTTTAAAATTTCTTCATACTAAATTATTCCTAGTTACTATATTGTTTTTTTCTTTTTCTTTTTGTTGTTGCTGTTTTTTTTTTTATAGTCAAAGTCTCACTCTGTCACCCAGGCTGGAGTGCAGTGGCACACTCAGCGGCCACTGCAGCCTCGACCTCAGCCTTCCAACTAGCTGAACTTCAGGCGTGCATCACCACATCTGGCTTTTTTTTTTTTACATTTATTGTAGAGATGTCTCGCCAAGTTGTCTCAAAGTGCTGGGATTACAGGCATGAGCCACCACGCCAGGTGAGACGTGGATTTTTAAGGTCTCCTTTTTTAATATTTAGAAACTTTTTCTTTAGGAATCTTTTCAGAACTTGCAAGTCATATTTTCTTTGTTGGCTTAGATGCAGATACAGGTGAAGTGTATTGTTATTTTTTAGATACATATTTATACTTGCATTGTATGTACACAAAAAATTAGCTGGATCCTTTAGGATGCATGATAGGTACTTCCCTGTACAGCTCTTATGTTGAATTTCAGAATAAAATATATAAGGTTGTGTAATTTTTGAGGACCAGAAAACATAATTTTGTGAGCTAATTTTTAAAATATAAATAAATATAAGCATACTGCAGAGATTGTGGTTTCAGTTCCAGGCTACTTCACTCAGGCAAATATTGCAATAAAGTAAGTTATGTGAATTTTATTTTAATTTTTTTTGTAGAGATAGGGGTCTTGCGATGTTGTCCAGTCTGGTCTCCTTGCCTCAAGTGATCCTTTTGCTTTGACCTCCCAAAGTGTTGGGATTATAGGCGTGAACCAGCATGCCTGGCCAATGAGTTTATTTCTTAAATAATAAGACTTGTAGCTGGGCATGGTAGCTCACACCTGTAATCTCAGCACTTTGGGAAGATGAGGTGGGAGGATTGAGTCCAGGAGTTTGAAATCAGCCTAGGCAAAGTAGTAACACCCCATAGCTACAAAATAAAAAACCAGCCAGGCGTAGTGGAACATGCCTGTAGTAGTCCCAGCTATTCAGGAGGCTGAGACAGAAGCATCACTTGAGTCCAGGAGGTCAGGGCTGTGGAGAGGCGTGATTGTGCCAATGTACTCTAGCCTGGGTGGCAGCATGAGACCCCAACTCAAAAAATAAGTAAAGTCAATCAATAAAGGAATACCTGAGACTAGGTTAATTTATAAAGAAAAAAGTTTTATTTGGCTCACAGTTCTGGATGGCGCTGGCATCTGCTTTAGCTTCTGGTGAGGCCTTAGGAACCTTTCAGTCAAAGCTGAAGGCAAGGAAAGATGGTATATTATATGTCGAGCAGAAGCAAGAGGGAGAAGGGTTTTAAAACTTCCAGCTCCTGTATGAACTAACAGACAAGACCAGAGAATTACTCCAAGGTATTCATAAGGGATCTGCCCCAACCAATCTCTTCCCCCTAGGCCCCGCCTTCAACACTGGGTGGGAATCACATTTTAACATGAGATTTGGAGGTAGAGGATACTCAGACTACATCAGCTTTTCATTGACTCCTGTATTTTTTGGTGGCCTTAGGCCAAATGGTGTAAGTAGAGTTACAGTTAAATAAGGACTAAAGGCATCAAGGCACATGTTTTTATAAATTGACAAGCTTAAAAATATTTTTAAATCATTGAAAACTAACGAATGTCCTTTTTGATTGATATATTGATATATATATATATATTTTGAGTTAAGGCCTCGCTTTCATCTAGGATGGAGTGCAGTGGCACAACCATGGCTCACCACAGCCTCAACTTCCTGGGCTCAGGCAACCTTCCACCTGAGTAGCTGGGACTACAGGCACACGCCACCATGCCTGGCTATGTTTTAAAAATTTTTTGTAGAGATGAGGTTTCACTATGTTGCCTAGGCTGATCTCGAGTTCCTGGGCTCAAGCAGTCCTTCCATCTCAGCCTCCCAGAGTGCTGAGATTTCAGGCATGGGCCACCATGCCCAGCTCTTTTTCTATGTAATAAGTTTTTCTGTTTTGCTTATCTCAACTTGGAGTTTTGTGAATAGAAACTATGCTGCCCCTTAAGTTTTGGGAAATAGAAGTACAGTTAAAATTAGATTTGAACATAAACAGAATCTTTTGCCAGTTGGTTTCCAAGCATACCTTCCTTACTATGTTATTGGTATTTTTTTTTTTTTTTTGGTGAGTCTATCCTATCTTCCTTAACTACATTGAAAATTTTTGAAGGAATTGAGAATTTCTTATAATGCTTTTTAATATCTTCACTGGGGCTAGGAATAACTCTTGACTCTGTGCCTTGAGCTATTGTCAAAGTCAGTGATTATATTTTTATTTAGGTGTTTTAAAATCACTCTGTCACTTTCATATTGCCTGGATTAGGAAGTTGTTACATAAGAGATGTCTTACTGGAAGTTGGCTTGGGAGAAAATTGTCCTGTTAGCATGGTGCAAATGACTTTTCCTGCAGCAGTGGAGACTTACAGGAGTGTTCATTGGTTTCTTAGAGAATAATGGTGCAGTGTTTTGTAGGGAAACTGTTAAGTATGTATTAAGTTTATATTTTTAAAAATATATATTTGTTATTATGAATGTATAAACATGTTCACTAAGGAATTTTTGGGAAATGTATGAGAGCATAAGGAAAAAAATAAATCCTCCCTGGCTTCTTGGAAAATAAGCAGACTTTAAAGATTCATCTAGGCCAGGTAAGGTGGCTCATACCTATAATCCCAGCATTTTGGGAGGCCGAGGTGAGAGGATTGCCTGAGCTCATGGATTGCCTGAGCCCTTGGGTTCAAGACCAGCCTAGGCAACTTGTCAAGACCTCAACTCTACAGTAAATAAAAAAATTAGCCGGGTGTGGTGATGCATGTCTTAAATTAAGTTTCATCTGGTTTGAAAGGGCTAAACTTGAGAACTTGGTCCTACCAGAACTTTGTATCACAGTGGTTAGCATTTTCTGTGAATGCAGCATGACTTGTTCCTCCCCACCCTCACATGTTTTTCTGATTTTATATACTTTTTAAACTTCCCTGAATCAATATCTTTTAAGAAATTAGTTGGTTGGTTAATGGCGTTTGTCTGTATGAGAGCTTGTTTTTCAGATGTGGCCTTCTAATTGTGCAGCTTTGTTTTTTGATGCTAGTTTAACTGATGAAGAATCCCGGAAAAATTGGGAAGAATTTGGAAATCCAGATGGGCCCCAAGGTGTGGTAAATGATGATTTTAAAATCTTGGTGATATGGTATATGTTATGAAAGTGTGACAGCATTAAAAGGAGTAAGCTTATGAATAGAAAACTTATAGTCACAAGTTTAACATAGATACAATGAGCTCCCATTAATTAATTTTTATTTTGTTTTTCTTTCTAGTTTGAAAGATAGAACTTAGATTGATTTGGAGAGAAGAGCAATGACTATCATGAACTATTTCTAGTTAGTAGTTGATAAAAATTTGGTGGGGAAAAAATCTGTTTTTCTTTACTGCTGACACATTTTCATATGTTCATAGTGTTTATATAAACTCAGACATATCAAAGAATTTAGGTTTTCTTGGAGGAAGGAATTCATGTACTTACATAGGTCTGTTTTTTGTTTGGTTTTTTTGTTTGTTTATTTTTTTGCCTTGAAAATTTTTAAGTTTCAGGTATAAACCTTATTCCTAACTTTTGTGTAATGGGGGACCGCTAATAAGGTAGTCTTTATTAGAGTTTTTTTTTTTTTCGGGGAGGAGTTCTGGGGTACAAATAGATAAACTGGTTGTATAGAGACCTTTTTAGAAACTGGTATTCTTCCTATTTCAGCGACAAGCTTTGGAATTGCCCTGCCAGCTTGGATAGTTGACCAGAAGAATTCAATTTTGGTGAGTTCATTTAAATAAGACACATTATGAACTATTTGACATAATTATTGTTATTTACTATGTGTCTTGGTAATCTAAAGAAAATGCTAGCATGCTATTTTTAGTTTATGTATAGTGAAAACTTTTTACATAATGGAAAAAAAAATGGGGTCCCTTTATTAGGCTGCTGATTTTGTGTTCTAAATGTAGTGTTAAAACCTTAAAACTTGGGTGGTTTTTTTTTTTTTGTAAGTAGTTTCTGATTGGGACCTACCTTTGTTTTGGTTGGGAAAACTACTGGTTTTTATGGTATCTTTATTTATTCTAAGAAATACTCTGAATTCTTCTTTTTTACCTTTACCCAGGCCAAACTAATTTTAATGTGTGATTAATTCTATATATTTTATACGGTACTTCAGAAGGCAGTAAGATATCAGACTTCAGTTAGTGATAGGTGCTGCAGCCCTAACAGGAATTACCTTATTTTCCAGGAATAGATAATTCTCTAGCTCAGCTTTCTTGAATATAATTGCCCAGGTGCTGTCTTTGAGGCAATAAAAACAAAATCCACATAGTCTGACTGTAATTTGTTTTGAAAATGGGTATTAAATGTTATTTTATGTCAGATTGAAATGGATTATCTTCAGTGGTTTATAGTTGTTGTATATAAGTGTGTTTGTCATGCTTAGGGTTACCATATGGGAAAAATAGAGAAGGGACAGTTACTACCAGATTTAGGATGAAGCAGTCAGAGAAGAGCAATAGTTAAGAATTATTAGCAAACAGAATGCTATGAAGTGGCTCCTTGATGTTTAGGCAGAGGAACCAGTTTAGCTAGGTGGCTTCTTATCTCATTTATTCCAAGTCACTAACTACTTGCAGGTGGTGGATATATAGGTTCTTGACTGGAAGGGAAACATAATTTCTAAAAACTGTTGTGCTGGTGTTATCTATATTGTGTCAGTAAACAGAAGATTAAAAGTTTATTTATAGCGGATATTAGCGTAGGCTGAGGTTCCAATCCTGGCTCTCCAACTTACTAGCTGTGGGACCTAGGTGAAGCTTTGTAACCTATAGGACTGCAGGTTCCCTGCCTAAAAGGCAGATAATAATGGCACCTTCCTCATAGAGTTTGAGAACAAGGATTAAACAAGGTAGTATATGAGGAGTGCTTTTAATAGTGGCTCTGCCATCATAAACCTCAAAATAAGTGTTCACTGATGTTGTGACAGTTTACCTGATGAAGGCTACAATTCTTTTTCTCTTGAATTCTAGGTTTTACTTGTATATGGATTGGCATTTATGGTTATTCTTCCAGTTGTTGTGGTAAGTTTTAGCTCTTTTTGTGAACCCTTTTTGGAAAGGAAATTGACATGTTTTGGAGTTGCCCTATGAGATTTTAATTTGTATTAAAATATAAACCATTGATCCTTGAGTTTAAGAATCTTGTACAGCCACGATTTTAAATATCTTGTAAAGGTGACATCATTTGAGCAGTTTAACTTATATCTCTCCAATCCAAGAGTTACACACAACTGAGCTAGCACTGCTGTATTTAGGGTTTAGAATGAAAGTCTAACTGCACCACCTCCCTCAACTCCATTTCTTTGATCACTGCTAAGCTTGGTGTTTTCTCTTTCAAATCTTTCTGTGCATTTATGTGCATAAATGTACCTTTTTTTCTTAACCTTTAATGAGGTTTTCTGTATTGTTCTGTGATTTTATTTTGTTTAATATATTAGGGATGCAGCATATAGGGCAGCCTCATATAAAAATCAGGTTTATATGACCACAGATGGAGATACCATAAAGTTTATGATTTTTATCATTTATTACTTTTGTGACTTATTCCTGGAGTTCCTCTGAGTCTCATAGTGAGCCTCATAATTAAACTGTTTTGCCTTTTTCGTAGGATTGTTGTGAGGGTCCAATCATATGAAATAATAAGAATGAAAGTGTCACATCAACTATAAAATCACATCTATTTATAAAATATCAGTATAAATCAGTATAAATATAAATGAAGACATACTGTGTGTTAGGAACCAGCTTGTTGCTTATACCAATGGGTGGTCTTATTTCTATTTTGTCTTCAGTAACTTCTATCCAAAATGTAAATGTTTTAATCATATATATGCAATGACTTAGGTTTCAAAGAATATCACTATTTGCTAAATAAATCATTTGAAATAGTAACAAAGAGGCACTTGTTCTAAAGCTCAGTATTTTTATTGTTTTATGAATATTTAAAAGATTTGATCTTAAACATTTTCTATCTCAAACTTGATATTTTATCGTAATTTTCGTACTTTATTTCTTGTTGAATTTTATTTGTATTTTAGGGCTCTTGGTGGTATCGTTCAATACGCTATAGTGGAGACCAGATTCTAATACGCACAACACAGATTTATACATACTTTGTTTATAAAACCCGAAACATGGATATGAAACGTAAGTAAACTTAGGTAACTGTGGTGTTAATCATATTACTTTCTGAGTCACTTAGTGATATGTATTTCTTATTTCCGTACTGGAGAAATTCTATTGTACATTTTTATGGATAATCCATATGACAAAGCTGGAGAAAAGTGCTAATACCATTTATCACATTTCTTGATTTCTATTTTTATTATTCTCATTTATTGACTTATATATACCATCATACATTTTATGGTAGAGTTTCTGGGTGCAAATTTTGTAATAATACTATTATTATTTGTTGTGTGCTAGGCACTGCTAGGGACTGTATACATATTAACTAATTTAGTCTTTGCTGTGTTCCCATAAGTAAGTGCTGTTTTTAATGACATCTTATAGATAAGGAAACAGAGGAACAGAAAAGTAACATGCTGAAGGATGCATGCATAGTAAGTGACACATCCTGTATTGAACCCAGGCAGTTTGGTTCCTGAACCCTAAACCATTATGTTAATACTGTATTAATCATAGTAAAAATAAAAGGAGGTCCTGGGTGTGTATTGAGAGAAAACTACAAGAATATTTCATTTCTATATTCTTATTTAAAAATTGTTCAAGAAAAGCATACCATTTCAAATATTTTCTTTGATTCTATGAAGTGAACTTTGTAAAGCTTATTCCTGGAATATGTAGTGTTGCTTTTCAGAATAACTGCTCTGCAGATATCATAGACTCCTCTATCCCCCCATAAAAAAATGTAAGTTTTAAATTGTGTCTTACTAAGGAATGTATTTTTGTTTCAAAACCAAAGTGGACTTTTCTGTATTTTGGATTTGGCAATTTAATTAATTTTTCTTGGGAATAAGAAAGAGATTCCTCAGTATCATATGATTGTGTGTGAACAGATCTTATGTTTCTGATGAATGGGTAGATACTGCTTTCCTTTATACATACATTTTGCTCTTTCTTACACTAGGTTGAAATGTTAATATAGAAACTTCATCCCTTATTAAAATCTTTCATCCTTATAATGTTTTAACATGTTTTTTGCCTCAGTGATCTTGACTTCTGTTTCATATCTAAGAGTGGTACTTAGCCTTATACAATTAATTCTGTTAGAAAAGCATTGTTTAGCTGGTAGATTTGCTTATATATCCTTGGTTACTTTAGCTGTCTTAGAAACAATTGTTTTTGTGAAACCATCGGGGGTAGTAATAGTAATACCCATGCACTTTTGCTTGCTGTGTGTCCAGCGCTTACGACGAAACTGAGGTATAGAGAGGTAAGTGAAGAGTATTACCCTAGGTCACTTACTAGGAAATGACAAAATTCCAGGGTCTGTGCGTTTAACTGCTATATTGTCTTGCCTTTCATGAGTACATTGCATGTATTTTATACTGTATGGTGAGATTATGCCTGTAGTGCAGTCCTTAAAGAACATGCATATACTAACAAGGAGTATTAATGTATGTGGCTGCAGATCATGTGTGTTTTAATTATGTGTATTTCTACAAAACTCTCCAGGATTTCATAATGAAATTTTCTGGAAATTACAGTATATTTTAGTTTACTTAAGGCTCTGAGAATTTATGCAGTAAAAAACTTTTGACTCTTATTTAACCCATTATTTCCAGCCATTCTTAACTGTAGAGTCCCCCCTTTTTTCATGGAATATAATGTGCTATAGCATAGGTCTAGAAACAGATGCTATTTTAAGTGATTTTAATGCTGCCAGTTGCTTTGGTGTCCTTTGATATGTATGTCTATTCACTTGTGATAAGTAATATTGTACACAGTTATTTTTATTTTTTATTTTTTTGAGTTGAGGTCTCACTCTGTTGCCCAGGTTGGAGTGCAGTGGCATGATCATGGCTCACTGCAGCCTTGACCTTGCTCAAGCGATCCTTCGGCCTCAGCCTCCTAAGTAGCTGGTACTACAGGTGTGTGGCACCACTTCCAGCTTTTTTTTTTTTTTTTTTTTAAGTAGAGACGAGGTTTCACTATATTGCCCTGGCAGGTCCCAAACTCCTGGTCTCAGGCAAGTGCTAGGATTACAGTCACAAGCCACCATGCTTAGCCTGTGCACATTTTTAAAAGCAAGATATTTCTTTTTTATGGGAGAAAGTAGTACTTGTCGATAGTGGGGTTCAGAAAAGTTTTAGCGTTGTGCATAATTAGAAAAGTGCCTCACTTTCAAATTAATGAAGTATTTTAGTAGGGGCAATTAATAGATGAGCAAATTTATGTATTTACCTTCGTGTTTCTTTTGTTTTCATAGGCCTCATCATGGTTTTGGCTGGAGCTTCTGAATTTGATCCTCAGTATAATAAAGATGCCACAAGTAGACCAACAGATAATATTCTGATACCACAGGTTAGGCCAGTCTCCCAAATACGTCGATGTGCAGTTGAGTATTAAAAGGAATGGTTTTTTTAAGTATATATTTTTGAATAATTATTTTATTTACTCCAGCTAATCAGAGAAATTGGCAGCATTAATTTAAAGAAGAACGAGCCTCCGCTCACCTGCCCATACAGCCTGAAGGCCAGAGTTCTTCTGTTGTCTCATCTTGCTAGAATGAAAATTCCCGAGACCCTTGAAGAAGGTATTTGTGCTTCTCTTATCTACAGGGTTTTAATGGGACCAAAGCAACAGATTTAATGAGAGCTCATGGTGCAGTGCTTTTTGTTGCTGTTCTTTTTTGCACAATCAAATAATTACTCAAGGACTCTTTTAAAAGAAATCTATATGCTACATAATTACTTCACAAATGACTGAAGGTCTAAGTCAAACATTTTGGCAAATGTTAAAAATTAGTGTTTCAAGGTGAGAGAATGCTCTGTATGAGAAGTGTTTAATTAATTGTAGATTATATAAAAGTTTCTAATGATTATTTTTAAAGGATCCTCCCTCATCATCCACCCCCCTTCTGACAGTGGTTACCAGTAGTGTCTGTTTTATATTTATTTAAAACTTCATAAGTACTTGAAGCCATCTATTCTGCTTAAAAGAAAAGCAATGGATTGAGGCAGCAGTGTTTCCAGGGTTGTCATAAATTTGTCATCTCTTCCTCACCTACATTATTTCAGTTGAAGTTTTAAAAGAGTTATTATCCTTAGGAAGTAAGTGTTCTTTCAGAATGAAATCTTATCATCCCCTCCTCTTTTAAGCCTATAACCGATCAAATTCCTTTGAAAACAAGGCCACTTAACCTCAGTAATAGGTGATAAGATGCTTATGATGGAATGAAGGAGCACTATTTTGGTATTGTCTTTGGAGTTACTTTGAACTATTAAGTTAACTAGTAATTCTGTTGCTAAGGATCTGTACATATATGTAACCGTCTCTATCTTTACCAAGCCATCTGTAAGAAACACAGAACACATTTTTGGAGGTTGAGTACCAAACCCACGGGATGGTTGTAGTAGTTAACTATTGTATGCAGTATACAGGAGAGAGTCTGTCTCTGTTGTCCTCTTCCTCCTCCTCTCATCTCTCTGTATTCAGTCGACATTTATTCTCAAATCATAGTCTTTGGATTTGACTATAATTATACTTACAGAAACTAAAGTACACAAGAAGAAAATTTTTCAAGTTTTTAAATATAGAAAGAATAGCCGGGCTTGGAGGCTCAGCCTGTAATCCCACGCCTTTGGGAGGCTGAGGTGAGTGGATTGCCTGAGCCCGCGGGTTCGA